GCCCCGTGTTACGCATGCCAGTCCACTGACTCCCGCCAGGTGCGTTGTTTGCGCGCCGGGGTGTGGATGGAAGAAGAGGGGGTGATCAAGCGCTAACTTGGTCGAGAGGTATGAAGTCTCTCACTTCGAAGCTGGCCTCGGTTGTAGCGTCTCGGCTCCCTGGTTGATGTCCGAAAGATGATGAACACGTTTGGCTAGATACACTTGTTGATATGGCAAGGAGCCGACCTCTTTGGCGTACGTGCTGTGAGTTTCTTTGCCCCACCCCATCCCTCTTAGCCTCCCCCTCCAACCACGATCTCATTATTTAGCATTTTATAATTTTTCATCGTAAATTATTTTTTCCTAGTGCATAGTAGCCGGCAGGTAGCTTACCGGAACGATGCCCATCCGTTACCGGTAGGTCAGCTGGCTTGCACCTGTTGCATTTTCCCTTTTATTTCTTTTATATGTTGTGGCACAGTAGCTGAGGTGTTTCCCACCTCTAGCTAACGTGTATAATGATGATGACGAATGTGACCCTTGGAACATACGGACATCATTGCTTTCAATGTGTCGGAACGCGCTGCTATGCATACGCTACTGGGTAAACTGAAACGTGGCTGCGCACATTTTAATATGCACTTTTCATCTTCAAATTACAAAGTACTGTCATAAGACTGGACCGAATCGCTCCCAGTTCTTACTATTACCGAACATCTGCTCGAAATTGTCAATCGGTTTATTTACCTGAGTAGATGTGCCACTTCTGGCTGTCATGTAACCGAAGTGGTCTCTGTACGAATAGCTGCTGCTCGTCACTTCTAAGTCTCGGAGACTTATCAAAACAAAGCTGATTGTGGAAAAGAAGGGTTCGCAATACGGCCTGTGTTGTTGAAAGGACTAGAGATCTGGCGGCTGCGAGCTAAGGACGTTAAGCAACTGGCCGGGTTTGACCACCCTTACCTGCAAGGCATTGGTTATATCTGGTGATGGAACCGAACGAGCAACACAGGACTTTGTTGTTTGACAAAGAACCCTCCCGTGTCTCATCGACAAGTCAAGGCATCGGGTGTACATCGACACTTCTTATAAATGCTGCGCTGCCAGGCGACCACTGTCGGTCGCGTGCGGGCTAGGCACCCTTCGGGCTCGTCGGAACCGATGACTTTTAGATAAAAAAAAGCCAGATGTCTAGAATACTCGGCAACGATGTGTACCTCATTGGTGTGCTAGAGTCATTTTCACTGACTGGGTGGGCCTACAAGGTGGATATCACGGCCCATATTGTTTGTCAATACCATCTCCATTTTCATGAAACGTTGAAACGGTCTCTTATTGACATGGCAAAGGGCATACAGCTTAGTTCACTAAATGACAACCTGGTTTGTGTTTGTCGCCTAGATTTGCTCCCTGGGATCAACCGCACCTTATCGGCAGTGCTGCGGTTCTTGGCACCCTTTCATTCGTTCTCCATCTTTGATCCTTCACCATCCTATTCGGCGATTATAATTTTTGTTTGCTCCACTTTTTACTATTGTTACGATTAGTCTCTCTATTATTTTGACGATGTATTTCAGGGCAAGCGGATTCATCACATCTTGGTGCATTAATGAAAGTTGACAAATAACTGGGCCATTTAACATTATCAGTACACTGAGTCGGCAGAACTGCTGTTCGGCTTGTTTAACTCAGCGTTCAGCTCGACCTGATCGAGTCTGTTTTAGCTGTCCGTCCTCTTCAGCGATTCACTCATGATAATCCCTACTTGGCCGACACGTCGGATTTGTTGAAATTTTGCTCTGTTATTCTAATTGTTGCTGTTCTCCGTCTTGCAAGGTTTTACCGTCGACTAGCGTTCCTACTTCGAAACTTTTTCCGTTCACTACGGGATCCTTTGAAGCTCGCTTCCTATCGGAGCTAACTCCGTTGTCTCACTCAGACTCCAGGAACCCATCAGGTGGAGCAGCCAACTTTTTAGGCGATTGCTTAGAGGCGACTCTAGTCCGCATTCGGTCAATCCACCTCGTTCATCGTCTACAACTGACGCATGTGCATGAGTTTTTGAAGCCTAATTCATCTATGCTAGTGGGCTTTAAACTTGCTTATTAATGTGAGACTGTATAACACTGAGAAGCACACTTGTGACACACGCGTGGATGCTGGGCGTCGATAATAGTAAGAGACTGGTTGCCTTTAACTTCCGATGCCCGCCTCACATCGCTACTGTTTCTCGAAGCCCTCGAATATGCTCGTATAGTTCTAAACGGCGCAACTATAATTCTGTACTCGTTTTAACGTTGACTAACCAAAATGAACTGCAACTTGCTATAATCTTTGACTGTGACTGTCGTACACAACAATCATTGTGAGACAACTGTCAGACAGTCGTACTAATTTAGTTTCTCTTTGCAGCAGTCTAATGAATAGACTTGAAGCCATCAAAAATCATGAGAATCGAAGAGGGACACGCTTTTCGTAAACAGATATCCGGGCACAACACAGCATAATGCGACATTACCCTGTTGCCCAAGGCGATCCGGGGTACCTCACTGAGCTGAGTAGCTTACTTGCAAGGTAACAAAGCGAAGTCAGTGAACCACGCCCATTGTGAGCCAGTGACTAACTTTTCACTCATATGGATTTGGTTTTCTACATCGACAAATGGGGTCCAATATATCCCATGATATCAACATCCATTCTCTGGGCTACAGTGCCCCTGCTTGAATAAAGCAAATGACAGGTGTTTTAATTAGTAGCGAGTCACACCCACCACGTCACATTGTTTTTAAATGAATATTTGTGGTTTTTCTCGCGAGAGTGCTAGCCAGACGAAAACCCACCACTTCTTGAAACGCTGCCGCCAAACCTGCTGGAGCGAGATAAACCCTGACCACCTAGCTGGCGGCGCGGGAAGTAGTTCAGTAAGCTCTCTGAACCTTGAGCTTATGCAGTTGGGTCGTCCAAAGTCTGATTCGAAACTATCCACAAGCGTCATTATCCTCAGGGTGATGTTGACACGGTGCAACCTCAAAGTTCCAAAAGTATCGGCTGTCAGAAACAAACATCGGACCATCATTTACTTAAGTGGTCAACAGCTTGCTTGGCTACGCTTGGATACAACAAAGTACAGGGTAAGTTGAGCAACACAAGTGCCTAATCAACATTAAAACTGGTTCTGTCGTCTAACTTGCAATCTTTTATACAACCTGGCGAAAGTTTACCAATGACCACATAGTTAATCTGCTCCTGCGATTGACTTGGTGATGCGGATCAGCGAGTGATGCATCGAAAGTTGCATTTCTAGGGGAAGATCCCTAAATTAATCGCGTCAAACACCCTTTACTCCTCTTTGGGTGATTCACAAGTTGTTAGTAGAATTTTTTTATGCTCTGGAGTGAAGGTATCATCATATAGGGGTGGATCTATCCATTGATGACTTGCCTGCAGCGACCACTTGGCCGGTGGGTTATGCACCTAAACGCAATCATTTATAAATCTGGCATTGTTACAGTTCAACTCGGGTCTCCATGGCACTCACCACGTCTTCGATACGCAGCCGGTACAAATAGCTGGACCCTAAGCTGTTCAAGCTCTAATGGGACTGGAGCAGTAGAAAGCATCTGAGAATGTTGCCCTTCGGATGACTGCAGCTTACATGAAGGATACGCCAATTACCCTAACAGTCATTGAAGCAACCCTCCAGTCTATAGTCACAACTATCAAGTAACCAAACTTTTCCATAAGATCCTATCCTCTACTGTACCAGTGGCTCCACAGTATTCACAACTTTTGCAACCAAACATTCCAGCACTTCGACTCTAATTTATCTAGCGCATCTGACAATCTTAGTCAGCTACGACGATGGGACCTTATTCTGATTTCAAATCACAATGAAAATAGGTAAAAGGAAATTTCAAGGCCATTGCAAATGCTCTCATTATTTCTGAGATCTTGATGAAATATCTTGGTTTTTTCGAAAATGTTTTGCTAGCGTCTACTATCGGTCTTGCGCAGGGAGTCAGCAGTCAGTTTGAAACCAGTATGAATCACCTGAGGACTGCAATCAGGAAAGTCGTATAGGAACCTTCATTGCACTAGGAACGAACTAGCATCTCGACACGTTATCGCAATCACATTTCCCTGCACTTGGACCCGATACCGATCAGATTATGGTCGAAGTATTCTTGGCGCACGTGTTTTACCTAGCATGCTTGTTTGAATGTAAACTTGAGAATAAACAATAATCATTATTATTAGTACTCACTAGCGCAAAACCAACGGAACTTAAACTAGCAGCACAGTAGCGGTAGAGGTATGCGAATGTCGTTCCTGCCTGAGATTCCGGTAAAAGGCATCAGCAGTATGCCGGTACGTAGTACCGACACTTCGCTGCCGCGCAACCACCATCAGTCGCATGTGCGCTAGGGATACCGCGAAGGTCGCCCGGTCCCTAGACGTGCTCGAATCCGCGCCCTCTGACTACAAAACAGACTTGTGATCTCCTTAAGGCTGCGGGCTGACGTACTATATTTACCTGCCACTTCTAACCTTCTCTGTTGGGTCTTGGACTGCTTCTTGGATCTCACATAACCGCCCGTATTGTACTATTTTGCTTGGGACCAGAAGAGATTCTTTCACTCGATTCCACCAGGTTTTCAGACTTTATGTATGTCTGTGCTCGTCACAGTTTCTACTGCCAGTCCCTCAAGCAGGATCTTCTGCATCGTGCATGGGGGTAGCAATCTTACTCCAGTAAACCTTTATGTCAGCCGCTCTTCCTCTCCATCCTTTTTTCTTTTTCTAAAGTATATATTGTTCCACTGGTGTTCTTATTCGATGCCATTTCCATTAGCCCCGTTTCCCTCATCTCGTCATAGTGTGCGCTTTTATACCTGCATCCTTATTCATTGCTCTTGAAGTACCATACCACCGTATCCAAGTTATTTGACGTACATATCAATGCATCCTTTTCGTATATGGATCAGATTTCTTAGATTCCACACATATGCCAGACAACAATGTGTAAGCCCAATCTTATCCATGTGCCTATACGTGCTCTTCCCTTCTTCCAGTTACCAATGTGATACGAACCTCCCAGCTTGCACAAGCCTCTTCCATTTCTCCTGGAAATCATCATCTTGGAGGCAGTGGGGATTCCCATGAACTAAATATACTTCGACAGCAGTTCGAAAAGTTAAGTGTGGAGGTAGGTCCGGTGACCTCGGCACGCACGTATCGAGAGCCGTGCGGGGGTCTGGTTATGTTTCGTTAGTGAGCTAAACCTCTTGATGCTCATTTTTGTCACCGTGTGTTGTTTACTGTCGCATCGATCTTTCACTTTTGGACTCTCTTTGAACTCATGCAGTTTCAGCATCCCTACTGCATAGAGTCCACCCCCTGTCGTTTGTCCACCGATCAACAATCACACATTTTTGTGTCCTACACACTTTCCATTAGATTTGGTCCACTTTATCACCGTGTTCGCAGTGCGGTGGTAGCCCACCCCTTTTTATTTTGTCTCCAATCAGTCCGCATTTTGCGAACAAATCGTGTTGGCTGGAACCCACTCATCTTACAGTTGACACCTCAAAGAAACTAGTAGGTTATGTTGCGATAGACGAGCACGTGCTGGCCAACATTCGAGGAATATCTGTAGTGGCACATCGAGCTCTTTCCTATTTTAACAATGCGGCATTTTTCGGTTAGAATATGCCGTGTATTAGGGAGCATTTATCGTTTGTCACTTTGAAATGATTCCATTGTGCATTAGAAGAGCGGATACGAGGCAGGTGCCGATTTTTGTCTGCCAAAATGAAGTTTACTCTTAATTTGGTTTATTTAATGCCTATATAGTTGATTTTGCGACTAACTTACACGTCTGTTTGGTGACACGTTTCGGATTTTTTTAACCACCGAATCGCCACATGTGTGAGTTCACAGTGAGTGGTTTGAGCGAGCTGCTAGCTCAACCGTATTGCTGAACTAAATGCCGTTTCTTACTATAACTCATCGTTTCTTAATCTACCTTATTTTTCATCTCGAATAGCTGACGAACGGCTGATTGATTCTTACGGATTATTAATGGTAGCGTTTATCATTCAGCCACCGGCAGTTCCGGGCGTGGCTTCCAAGTTAACCAGTTCAGGCATAGATTAATGTTCAAATTTATAGAAACCAGGAACCTTCATTGAAATCAATTGTTGCGTCTAATCAACACTGTCTTTCTTCTGTTAATTTTTCTGTCGATTGGGATTTCATCGTAGGTCTGTCGGAGTTTGGTTTCTGGATTGTCTTCTCTGGTTGAACTATGTTCCCTCTGGCGGTATTTGTATGTCTGCTGTTGTCTGCAAATAGATAATATATAATGGCGTTGTACTTGGACCCATCTAGGTGACTTTAGCTATCGCGCCACTTAAGCAATATACTTTTCTCTCAATCTACATCTTATACACAGTCTGCTGTTCAATTCAGTTGAGCACCTATTATCTGGGCACCGAAGGGCGGTGGATTCAAGATAATGATAAATAACAAGGGTTAAAAAAATGAAGTTGAATATACAAAGAAAATGTAATCAGAACAGAAGTTTGCAAAGCTAATCGGGATGGAAAATTAACAACTGTATGCAAAATTTTAAATACAGGAACTCCTCTGACTGCGCGGTTGGCTCTTGTCTGATAGAGTCTCCAACGACTGGTTTAAACCATCCCGTGATTCCCTTCCAGGAAGACGGTATGCACCAGCCAAGTCTATTATTCAACTCCTTCATGCCTTTATACGACCTCATGGACTGACCACCTCGCGATTTCGCTCAGTTTGGTGCATCCACGGCGTATAATGCACGCCGAAGAGACCGGTCACGGTTCACCGCTAAACGACTACCAAATTCCACTCACCGATCGGTTTGAATTCGTCTGTGTACGAGCAGCCTTGAGGTACGCTCAGCGCACGCACGAATGCTGCTGACAGTCGGTACGGTATGATGGCATACTGCTGACGCCTTTCTGTATCCACGGACGTGTACCTCTTCATCAACTTTTTACATCGTTCCATGTGATCTTCCTAGCTCTCGCACAGTTGAATCTTTGTGCCCTAATGTCATCGGAACTGACGTTCGTACTCATCGTAATACGAACGCTATTCAACCGTATGCGACCATCCTACGCAGTGTCCACTGAATGCTCTCGAGATTCGCCATTTATTACCCATATATGTCTAGTGGACATACCAGATTTTATCCGCGAACTTGTCTCCATATATGTTCTGAAGCAATCAACATTGATCCTACTGTGTCTGTTTTTTTTTGAAGCTGCATGTTATCCACAATTTACACCAAGCATTTCCGATAGTAGAACTTCGATATCAATGTTGTCCTCGAAACTTCCACTTTTCTGCGCCATTCATCGTTCTCCCTCACACGGAACAGCATGGTTATTGGTATTGCTATCAGACCTGGTCATTCACACATCCAATCCAAAAAGTAATGGAGGTGGTTATGCGCGAATTTCCTTTGACGTTCGTAGGTATCACTATGAATCCGAACGCCGATGTTTATGCTTCTCTTCAGTACTGTATTCACTGACTCATGTAGACGAACCAGCACACCATGACAAGCACTTTGTGTTTTCCCCCGCTTGAAGGGGTCGTCTATCCACATGAACACTTGCTTGCCTTACTGTGATGCCACAATTTCTAATATGCATCCTCCGAGAGCTTGCGGTGGTGTTTAGTTGCCGTCCCAAGACCTGTCAATTCCGGTAACTGGAAAATTCCCATTTAGTCATCAAGAACAATGGACCGAAGGTAAACAATTGTTTTCGATGAATTTCTCGTCGGACCTTTACAATTATATGGGTAAAGAGCAACGGAAGTAACAATAGTTTCGATCAGTTCAAATGAAATTGGATCACGTGCCAACCGTGGGCATAAACCAGCAATAAACCTAAACGAGAAGCGCACACTAGGGCAAAGATGTAGTCAAATGATTCCTTCCGGCCTCCGAATCGTCCACTTTTTCTGGCCATGGTAACTTGAGAGCTTCGATCAGTTTCTTTTGTGAACACAAAAGCGCTTGATACAACCGAATACTGATCGCCTCAGCTGTCAATTCCTTTCAGTATGACCGTCGGTACGTTTAACAGGCATCCCTACTGTTTGTTTTTCTTCCCCTTGCAATCTCTTGTCGCCTATCACGGCCCTTACTTGCAAGCCCAAGAGTTGCTCCATCTTTGAAAGTTCCACACAAGGCATAAACAGTACGTTGGTACACAGTACCGACGCTTCACTGCCATATATATATATATATATATATATATATATATATATATATATATATATATATATATATTCACAGTCTGTTAACAGACATTGTGCCATCAGAACCATGGCAGAAGAAAAAGGTGAGCATTATATATATATTTCCAACAGTCCCTGCTTCTGAGCAAGAGAAGAGCAACATTTAAGTCGCCGATGCAGCTTTACACATTTCCACTTTCTGGTTCATTGTGACTGCACAGTACTATCAGGTCCGGTCCGTAGCCTTAAGGATTACAAGCCTGCCTCGTACTCCGTGGGCGCTAGTCCGAGCCTACGTTAGGATCATGTGACCCTCGCAGTATCTTCGGCCCGCGTGCGACTGGTAGTGGTTGCGCGGCAGTGTAACGTCGGTACGGCGTATTTCCGTTGCCATTAGTTTAGATACTAATATTTTGTAGCGATAGTGGTAGCAGCAGTAGTAGTAGTTTTTCGTGACATCCGCTTTTGGGTTCGTCTCTCACTAGGGCCGTTACCGTTTTCAAGACGCCTGGACTTACAAATGACCCATGTGTGACCCGCGTTTCACCACCGACGGCTCATCCCACATACCTCATCTCCAGTATGCACCCAATTCAATAGAACCGAAGTTCGATTCAACTGTGGACGTTGTGGTTTCGTCAACACACACACACACACACATCCCAGTGCTGTATCACTTTGGAAGAATCTTTGTCAGCCGTACCACGTAATGGTAACTGAGCCGTGTTCCATTCCATAATGGAACCACTTTTTGAGTCTAGCATCATTATGACAGCTGCTTCATAGAGCCAACGGATGGCCGAGTGGATAAAATGTCTTGTCTTCCATCCAAAGGTCACAGGCCCGATCTTACATGTACGAGGGTGAGCTCGCAGTATCCTAGCCCACAGAGCGAGTGGTGTTAGTCGCGTGACAGCAATGCGTCAGTACCACGCACCGGCGCGCTGCTGATGCCGTTCCTCTTTTCCATAGAGCCAGTACTCGCATGAATTGACACATTTACATCATTCACATCAGACACGCTAAGCCCTGACATCATCACACGGGTGCACGTCAGTCAGGTGACATTGAGTGTTCGTTTGACACACATATAACCCACGTGCAACGACTGTGGGTCACCTGTGCCACGGCAACCGAAACACCAACGCGGTACAAACGACGCTAAAAACTGCAGGACTTTGATGTATCTGGTTGTAGTCACTCTCTATTCTTTCTATGATACCACTGGGTGCTGCGCTGTGCAAGATTTCATACTAAGACAGTTCTCTATATTCCAACCCATGAATCGTTGCTTCCATCTAGTTCCTTCATAATGGCGCACTTTAAGCCCACCCGAGCTACCGTGGTTTATCCACTCAGCCTTCCTTACTCTACAGTGATGCGCATGGCTAAAAGTTGCCTCGCACTTTGCTGTTTGGAATACCACCTCTTTCAGCAGTTGTCACCTAAGCACCAGTGGAACTCCTCAGATCTCAGGACATAAGGAACCTCGACTCATGCTGTCTACATTCTTCATCCGTTTAGTACGTTGATCATGGATCTTCTATCGCTACAGGACTTGACCTTAACGTGGGATGATGGTTTGCATGCCGCACTGAGATATTCTCGATGGTGCTTTTTACACCTTTAGAGTCACTCGTACCGGATTGGCTAAGGGTTAGAGGTCAGACTAACCCAGTCTCCTGGCCCTTCAGGTTGGGCGTTCGAGTGAACGTGCCTCCTTATTCCACAGCGCCCAAATCCCGCTGCCTTTCCGTTAGATCTTTAAATTAAACGTTTTGGCTAAAAACCCTAATTGTTCGAGTGTTTAGGCCTGGTGACCTGACAGTATCTTGCTCACGCAATACCATACAATGACTCTTCAAACTATTCTTGATGTCTTGGCAGTCTTAGAGGATACTTAACGGCGCCCTA